ACACAAGCCTCCAGGACAAAGAGACATCTTCTGTTGAGAGTCACCTGCAAGATGTCCCTCCATCTTGGAGGGTTGATCTCCTGCTGGGAGTCCCCCAGGAGATAAAGGATAGGGCATTCGTTCATTCGCGTGACGATGAAACATCGCATCTCATTGATACAGTAGTCCAAGGGTGGGTTTCTAATGTGCGTTTGCCTTCCTGACGTGCCGTAATTCGTGTCGTTACATCGTGGGACGAAACCTCCCGGGATAGATTCGAATGGAGTTGGCGACCCAGCAGGTGTCTCACTTGGGACAAATGCAAACACGACAGGGCCAGGAGCGGGGTGGCTATTGGAGAGGACAGTCCGGTTTTCTGCTCCTCTGTCCTCCGTTGATATGAAACCCGACGCCTTCATGTCCTCTATTTTTTCTCTGTAAGAAAGAGAACACATTTTTGTCTTCCAAGAGAAAAATAGAGGACACGAAAGCGTCCGGTTTCGTATCGATAGAGGACACCCGGACTGTCCTCTATGGTGGCCACCTACCAGGGAGGGTTTAAAATGGGCATTTGCCTTCCTGTCATGCCGTAATTCGTGTCGTTACTCTGAGGGCAGGAAGGCATGGGGCCAGAGGTGCACAGTGGTGTCAGGCGTGTGGTTGGGAGAACAGATGCTTCCCATGAGAAAACTCATGTATCTGCAGCGTGGGGAGACCTCCCCACTGCCTCTTCCCCACCCAGTCGTCAATGGCCAAAATGAGGAGGATGCCAGTCAGTGAGGACTGCTGCCCGGGTGGGATAAACTGGACGAGTGTCCAGGTCAGACCTTGTCTTGAGAAAGGTCCAAGCTCATCTGACTGAAGGGGGAGCAAATCAAAGGCTGGTCCTGCCGACACAGATCCAACAGCTTCCTAAACTATTACTTTCTTCCTTTCAGTTTTCAGCTAAACTCCGGATGTGGGGACCCTTCAGCTTTGCCTCCGCTAAAGGAAAAGGTGTTTCTTTTTTACTAACGTACTGTATTACAACTGCCTTATCTTCAGTATAACTGCACCTTGTATTAGTTTTCACGTGTTAGCTGATACACAATAGAAAAAGACATTTTTTCTTACTGTTCATGTACCCATTAACTGATTATGGGAATTGCATCTCCTTTGGTCAATACCCCATGCTGCACCTGCACATCACCATAGTGTTTGAAAGGTACTCTGCTACCCTTGTTATGGCCTCTGCATCCCATTAAAATTGTGCTAGCAAATGCGTCTCTGACATGTTTCATAGATGTTAAGACCAAAGGGACCATTATGATCATTTAGTTTGGAAACTAAACCTTTTTCCAGCCCCGTGTCTAAGCAGAATACAGGCAAGCAAGTGGTGATGTGCACAGTGGATATTCTCAGATATCCAACCACTCAGTAAACTCAAACTCACAGTAAAGGAGCATGGCTCAAGCTCAATAGCTGTGGTGTTTTCCTGAACTAAATCATGACTCTGACTTAAGGATTTCTGTATTGTAAGGACTATTTCAATGCTACATAGGACAAAAATATTTAGATCTACAAGCGTATTAAGAAATGGGAGTTTCACCTTAGGTCAAGACTTAATTTAGATTGCCCTAGCCAATATAAGATTACAAGCAGGAGCATACTGCTTTTGCTTTTCTATTTTTAAAAGCTCCAGGGAGCTTCCATCTTTCTCTTTGCTTCTGTTATTATTTCTAATCATCTATTATGACAGTATTTGCAGAGCTCTATCACTGTCAGAGCCTTTTATGTTTTCAAATACATGTTGTGAGAGCATGATGCCTTTGTCAGGTTTTTTCTTGATAGTATGTCAGTGGCTACAATTTATCTTATTTTTATTTTATTTGCCTCGGAAGACATTAGTTAGTGTACTTTTGACGTTGTCTTCTAGTTCTCTAAAGATTACAAATTATACTCTACAAAGAAATGAGTTCCCGTTTCAAGAGCAGGGCATGGTAGAAAATGTTCTCAAGGTATCAAGTCAGTCCCAAGGCCGCTGCAACTGTCGGGGCACTTCAGATGCTGCAACAACCCTCCTCCACTCTGCCCTATGTTTGGCTAGCTTTGTGCACTCTGTCAGTTCAAGCCTCCTTTAGTCTTTAATATTGGTTCTCCAGCTTTTCTTGGATCTACCTCCCAAGGTATAAAGCCATATTACTAAGCAGTGATTACTTTGATAGAGATTCTGGTAGAGGCATAATCTGCACGGTATAACCAAAAGGATTTAATCCCTAGGTAGATAGAAACAAGGAACTAATTTGTTGTGTTTTTGTAACTTTATATGACTTTTACTGTTAATACATTTAGTACCCTGATTGTTTGTATTTCATGCAATACAATTCTGTTGAGCTTTTGCCAGGTAAAAATTTAATTTTTGACATAACTCGAACAGATTCAGTTTGTCTTAAATATTGTAGATAATATGTGGTAAGCATCTATATACAAAATTATACAGTTGTTTAGCTAGTTGGCATGATACGTTGTATAATGCTTAGTGTTTTATTGGTAGTCTTTCTGAAGCTCTCAAAATACTTAAACGTTCATTATTTCTCATGAAATCTCGGAGGTAGTGAGGTATCCTGCTCAATACAGATTGGTGTAAGGCAGTTGACTTGCCTAACATCCCACAGTAAAGCAGGCATAAAACCAACAGCATCTGACCATGTGTTCTTTCATCTTGCTGTTAATCCATGCTTGCTAATTAATTAGTGATACCCACAATTTTGACATTTAAGTTTGACATTAATAATTATGAAAGCCTTTCAAAGGCATTGTAACTGTCCTGTACTTGTTTCTCTGAACTGAGAAATATTTAATTTGGGAAACATACTGTGTAATTTTCTTTAATCCCTTAGAAAATTCAAATAGGTAGGAATATGGTTTCTTCTAAGAATTTTATCTGAGTTTCACATTGAGGCTGGCTTTTTTAACCTAGTATTTTAGCCTGCATTATTGTCCTGTCATTATGAATTCAGTTGTTTGAGATTGGTCACTTGGTCTGACTGTCACGTGTTTCCATTCTCCATTTGGTTAGTTTTAATTATAGAAACTGGCTGACCCACTTCATTCGCTGTAACAATTCTACAGTACAGGTTGCTTATTATTATGAATAATCATCTACTTTTCTGGTTGCTAAAAAACCCAACCATTTACTCCTTTAGGCTGCAATATTAATTTACAAGCAGTATAGTCGCTACTCAGTACATTAGTAACCTCTTCTAATAAAACCTATGCATGCACAAGTCACTGAAATCAGAAATCATCTCTTCAGTACTCACTAGCAAGTTTTTCTGTTGTGTAGAAAGGTGTTAATATCCCAGGGGGTTTTCTCTTTGATCTGGTGTTTTAATTTTTGTACTTTTTAGATGTTTCTCTAGCACATGACCGGTATCGTTTTTATAGCCCTAGTTCTCTTTTCTGCAGACATGTAGGCTTAGCCTACACACCATGGAGCTGGTGCCACTATAACTGCAGCAGCATCCTGACAGCAGAGCCCTATGGTGTAAAGTCAGCCTATGCTAGCAGAAGGAGATTTCTGCTCCCAGTGTTATTTGCCAAAAGCCCCCCTCAGATGTCAGAAGCTTTGCCAGAAGCAGGCTTCTTTTGGGGCAAAGCTGCATTCACCCCCTAAGGTTCTGCTGGTCTAGTCGTGTTGGCAGGCTCTTGCAACAGGAAAAACCCTTTTCAGGTGTTTGAACAACTTGCATATGTAAAGTTCATTGACTTTCAGTGTATCTGTAAAGTGAAGCACTTGCAAAAGTATCAGCATATAATAAATAAAACAACAAACACTACCAATTTTAAAAGTATGTTGTAAAGAAGCTAATTTATCTCTCACCATTTTTTCTATTGCCCCCTTAGATGGTTAAAGGTGAAATTTAGGTAAATAAAAAT